CACTAGACACCACCACCATTCAAACCATCTCACCTTCCTCTACAACCTCCAGTCAATGTCTGGAGGGAGGATAAGACTGAGGGAGGAGGAGAAGACTGATGGTTTGAATATTTTAATAAGGTTTTTTTGGGAGTATAATTGTAATTTATTTTTTGATTTTGATTTTTGTTTTATTTAAATATGAAGGTATATTGGTCATTTTACATTCAAAATAGTGAAAAATGACGTTTTCTGCAATGAAACGTTGAAATAAGGACGAAAGTGCAAAAGAAATGAAACGTGAGGACGTTTTACGCAATAAGTGTCAAATGTAGGGGCGTTTTGTGCTATTGAACCAAGTATAAAAAAGTTTGAAACGTAAGGACGTTTTCCGCAATAAGTGTCAAATGTAGGGACTTTTTGTGCTTAAACCTTTTAATAAGACTTTTGGACTCACTTGCACTTTTTAAAAAGTTTGGAAGTATAATTACAATTTTTTTTTTTTTTTTTTATATAGAAGGGTATATTGATCATTTTACACTGAAAAACAGTGAAAATGACGTTTTCTGCAATGAAACGTTGAAATAAGGGCGAAAATGCAAAAACAATTAAATGTAGGGACGTTTTGTACACTACATGCAAAACGTATAGACGTTTTGTGCTATTAAGCTTTTTTTTTTTTTCCAATAGTCACTGTTACTTTCAGTTTATCATTTAGTCTTTGTCAGGATAAAAATTTATAAATAATTTATAAATTCAATCAAAATTAAATATTAATTTTAACCATATATTTACAATTACTACTAATTATTATTCGTACATTTCGTATGTTCCACTGTTATTCCTCTTCATAAACCATCGACGAGTTTGCCAAACGGATCAACCGTCATTGAACCTTAATTTTTTTTTTTGAATAGTTAGTGTGCTTTCAGAGATATTATAGGCTCTATTTGCATTAGCATTTATAAATGATTTATAAATTTATTCAAAATTCAATATGAATTTGAATTGCACATTCTTAACTACTACTCATTATCGTCCACATATTTAGTGGGATTCAATACTATTTTTCTTTATAAATCATTTATAAATTTGCCAAATTAATAAACTAATAATTTTAAAATCAACAAATATTTATAAAACTTTCAAAAAAACAAAAAAAAAAAAGGATGATATATGACCGTGGCCTGTTTTGATAATGACCTATAAATTGTATATAATTATGATTTAGTATGATGTTTGACTATAACCTTAATCTAATTGTAATCTAAGTGAATAGATTTATGCAATCATCTGTATGTGTGTTTTTTTTTTTTTTTTAAATTAATATCTGAATAATGAAATTAAAACTTAAGGCCATGTTTGGTACACATTATTTTTTTTATTCTCATTCTTCTACTCATTTTCAACCACACATTTTTCAATAAAATAATATTTTCCATTACATCAATAACTTTCCCTTCATTTTTAACCATACATTCTCCATCAATCTACTATTCAATAATACATTCTTTCAAAAGAATATGTCTCAAACACACTCTAAAAACATAATTGGGGAAATTGGGCCTAGTACAGCCCAAAAGCTACAAAATTGAATGATACACTTTTTACACTAATGAAACAATTTAAAACGTAATTAATTTAATACATCTAAAGGCCTCAAAACCTACCCAAAATGTGAAGAGAGAACCAGTTGGTCATGCTTCTTCGGCCTTTTCCCATTTTCATAATTGTAACAGGATGTTGGAGGTCAGCTGGCTGTATCGTGATGCATTGGCCATGCCACCACCGTCCTCGGAATTGTATCAAAACCCTTGTGCTCGATAATCAGCAGGAAAATCAAAATACTCCGACTCATCATTGGCCGAATCCACCTCGATTGCAGTAATTGCATTCACTAGACAAGTTCATACATGTGTACATATTACGGTGAAAGCCAATACAATGTTAACATTATCAATATTATATTGTCCGGGTTTTCAATTTTGTTTTCCTTTGGGCTCCGCCTTTTTTTTTGGATTTGAAATTAAGTAATGTCACTTATTTTAATATTTACATTTCCCATAGTACACACACAAACTCTCTTTTTCACACATATACACACGCACGTACATCACCCAACATTTTTTTAAATCTTAGGTTTAGGTTTATGTTGTAACTTTGGGTCTTCAAAATTTATAGAAGGGGAGGTTACCAGCATTGTTCTTAGGTAAAAAGCAAGATCCGATTTTTATTTTTCTTCATCTGTTGGGTTATTAGTTAAGCTTAATAAATGGTTTTGTCACTTTTTTTTTTTTTGTCATTTCCATCTCATAAGTTGTTATGTTCTTAAAATGAAAGTTATATTCTATGTTTAATTAATAAAAGTGAAACATAATCCCAAAGAAATAACATGTAGAAGAAATCATAATCCCTTGAATCTATTGTAAAGTTTTAATTTGTTTTGTCATATTTTTGAGTGTTTGTTACTTATTTGAATTGTTGTCACTTTTTCAATTTGAGCAATTTTGATTTGGTTGATACTTGACCTTTTTCTCAAGTGTTAATAAAAAAAAGGGACAATTTTTAGTGTTCTGTCACTTTTTATAGTGTTTGTCACTTTTGTAAATTTTTGTCACTTTTTTTGAGTATTTGTCCTTTTTTTGGGTGTTTCCCACCTTTTTTTGAAGTTTCGGCATTTTCTAGTGTTTTGTCATTTTTTTTAATTTTCTATCACTTTTTTAAATTGTTTGTTACTCTTTTTTTTTTAATTTCCATAACTTTTTGAGTGACAAACATCACAGTATGTCACCTTTTAATAAAAAATAAACGATACTCAACTTAAGAAAGTGACGTTTGTATTTAGTAGGTAGATTGTGTTCTGGTTAATAATTAACTTGACCATTTTCTCAAGATGGTTTTGTGTCTTTTTTTGAATTTATGTCACTCTCTTGAGTGTTTGTTATGTTTTTTAAATTTTCGTCACTTTTTTTTTATTAATTTTGTCACTTTTTTTTGTTTTTTGTTACTTTTTTGGTATCGTATATCACTTTTTAATAATTTAACATTAAATATTTTTTTGCTTTCAAAATACTTTTCATATAAATTTTCAAAAGACATCTAAGTTTAGGGGTATTTTTGTAAGTTGCACAACATAATTTCAGGCAATTTTGCAACTAACAAGTGGAGGCCCAGAAAACATGGTCCAAATAGCCCATCAAAACTTGCTCCCTTACTGATGGGTCCGGGCCGAACCGCTCCATTGGTGACTGCATCAGGAAACAAGGGTTTTACAATTTTATGCTGGCGCCACACCTTAAACCCTGGCTGAGAATTCCAAATTCCATAAACCCTAATTCTTCATTTGATATCCATTTCACGATTAGCTGATTCAATGCTAATTAAGATAATTTAGTAAAGGTTAGACACAGAAAATGGCGGCTTCAAGGATGTCGGCGGTGGCGGCAGTGGTGGCGGCTGCGGCTTCCTATTCCACGCTCTCTAATCGTTCTTATGCCGATTCGCCGTTCCGATTTTCTCCTTTCTCATCTTCTACACCATCGTCGTCTGCTCCCGTCCCGGTGCAGGATCCGAAAGCGGATTCTTCTGCACCGGATTCTCATCCCGCAGTCGAAGATTCGAAAGGGGGGTTCGATCCAGAATCGTTGGAGAGAGGGGCCAAAGCTCTCAGAGAAATTAATAGCTCTCCTCATGCCAAACAGGTAATTAGTATTTTCCGAAGCAAGCTTTCTTAATTTGATCAAACAAAGATGGGCTGTTTATGTTCTGCAGAAATTAGTTTATGTTGGTTATTTGGAAGAAGCATTCTGGGAATTTAGCTTGAAGTAAGTTTTATGTATGTTTTTGAAGGTCTTTGAGGTGATGAGAAAGCAGGAGCAGACGCGACTAGCGGAATTGGCAGCGGAGAAGGCTAATTTTGAGGCCATTCAAGCTCATGGTGATATCGTGAGTGTTTAGTTTGATTAAGTAAATCATTTATACATGCTAAAATTTGGAACCTCATTTGCATTTGAGCGTTCTCTCTCTCTCTCTCACACACACACACACACACAGAGACAGAGTTCATAGTCTTGTGGTAGAAAGATTATGCAAGCAGGTTGTATGTTTTCCATTAAGATTGGTTGTTTAAATGCTTAACAAATATTGAGTTTTCGTCTCACTTTAGGCGTTTGTTTATTTATTTACTTTTCCTGGAGAGAGAAGCAAAAAGAAAATGTAAGTGGTAATAGGTAAATCTCTGTCCACGCAGAAAGAAAATTAGAGAGAATTTATCTTTTGGGGATCAAATTTTTATTTTTTGAAGATCTCAGGATTACATAGGTATATGCTTATTGCCACCTATTCACATCAGTAATTTGATGGTAGAATTGACTACACACATTATGTTTTGTGATAGAAATGTTCTTGTGATCAAGAGAATAAATGCTTGAAGCATGGAAAATTTGTTTATGTTATTTGACTTAAACATTATGTGTTTATTGTCACCTATCACATGTGCTTGTTTCCGCAGGAGAAGCAGCGAAAATGGGCAGAAGACCAGAGGAATCTGTATCAACAACAAGCACAAGCTAAAGCGCAAATGATGAGATATGAAGACGAGTTAGCTCGAAAACGAATGCAGGTTTGAACGCTCACTCTTCTTGTCCCTCATTCTGAAATCAAGTGTTAAGTATACGTGATGTGAATTTGGCTAGCTTAATTTGAGTTGAGTGGAAGCATGAGTGTTTTACTTTATTAACTCGCATAACCCATATGACTATATCGATGCTGCCATTGATGTTATCCCCAATGTTTATTGAGTATAATTTAGTAATATGATTCAAGTTAAGTGGACAATGTCAATAATTATTAATATATACACAAATCTTTTACAATGCTTACTTTATCATCTATCATGAATTCAGACAGATCACGAGGCTTTAGACCTCATAATTTTTATAATTTTATGTGCTACAAAAATCTCTTGCAAGTTTACTTTATCATTTATCGTGAATTCAGACAGATCATGAGGCTCAGAGACGTCATAATGCTGAATTAGTGAAAATGCAAGAGGAGTCATCCATAAGAAAAGAACAAGCAAGACGAGCAACTGAGGAGCAGATGCAAATTCAGCAGCGACAAACTGAGAAAGAGAGAGCTGAGATAGAACGTGAAACAATAAGAGTAAAGGCTATGGCTGAAGCGGAAGGTCGGGCTTATGAAGCAAAATTGACCGAGGACCATAACAGGAGGATGCTTTTAGAGCGAATAAACGGTGAAAGAGAAAAGTGGCTTGCAGCAATAAATACAACTTTCAGTCACGTTGAAGGTTTGTAACTGGCCAAAATTTCTATATTCTTCAAGTTGAAGACCTAAAGTGCAAGTTTATGTTGGTTACTGACATTTCCTTGCAGAAATTCTCATTGCTTCCACTTGCTACAGTATTGTACCTTCAATTTCACCCAAGTTGACCCTAAAATCCTGTCAACCTATTCTTGTTTCTCTTACAGATGATTCTTCAGCCTGAGATGATGCCTTCTACTTTTTTACTTTTTGATTTATAATAATATTGGAATTAAGATTATTAATCATGCTAGGTGGTGAATCTGAATTTTAAGTTTTTCTTTATATCTTGGAAGCGCAATAGTCATAGGGATTTCATATCATTTATATATATTGATCCCAATGCTGGATGAATAAGGGAAAAGATGCTGGGACGAAGGATTAGGTGATTCAAATATTAGAAAGAGATAAAACATCAAATGTTTATATGCTAGGTATTGAATTTTCATAATTGCTACTCTAAAATCATGGAAGGTGATTAGATAGTTTCTACACGTGGAGTCCTTTAAGCTGAAGTGAGATTGAGGTGTGTGAGCCTAAGGGAAGGAAGATGAAGCAGTCGTCCACACATGAAGATGCATGCACGTATGCATAAACACACACATGCCGGGGGGTGGGGGGGTGAGAGAGAGAGCTCACATGTTTATTATATTGGTCAAATTCGTTTCTATATTTATTAAACTGTTGTCAATTTAAAATCTATAGTACATATAGATCTAATCAGTTGTCACTTACCTGTACTATTTAGGGGGATTTCGGATTCTATTGACTGACAGGAGTAAGTTGTTAATGACTATTGGAGGGGCTACTGCATTAGCTGCTGGAGTTTACACTACCAGGTCTCTGCACCATTCTTCCTTCTTTTGCCATAATATCAACTAAGTTAAAATTAATTTGTGGTAATGTTATATGGTATCTTATCTGTTGATATAATAATGATGTTTAAAATTAAAGGTTGAGTTTTCTAATCTCTGTTGAGACTTTTAAGTTTTAAAATTGCAAATGACCAGAGGATGATTTTTCCGAACAGTTTGCTTTTATATATATTTGGTACAGATAAATGATATTAAAATTTTCAGAGATAATAATACAATTGTACCATGCAGAACTTAAAAAAAACATTCAACCTCGGAGCTTTTTTCATGTTCATATGGTATTCGTGGACATAGCTGTAGTTGACCCAGTAAGTTTCCTATAGACTAGTATACACCAGAGTGGGGTTCAGTTTTACTCATTTTTCTACAATAACATTATAAATTGGGATATAAATAGAAGAATATGAGCCATTGCATCAACGTGTAAGATTGTGTTCTTTGGGGAGAACATAAGCATTGGAACTATTGTCACATACGGTATGTGTAATTTCAATATGCTATTTACTGCATGTACATGTGCTGTACATGTCATTATATTTTCTTCAATACTTGTGTTATTATCACTTGTGACTTCCCTGCTCCACATGTCAAATATCCATGATTTTTCTGTCAAATGAAGTTTTTTGTTTGTTGTCTGCCTAATTTAGAAGTATTCGATCTCATCTGCCATAGAAAATCTGTTGATTCTCTTTTCATGTTTAAATGTGTTGATTTTGATTATGTTGTTTATGTGCAGGGAAGGTGCCAAAGTTACATGGGGATATATCAATAGAATTCTTGGGCAACCATCTCTGATTCGAGAATCGTCCATGGCCAAATTTCCATGGTCAGGAATAATTTCTCGAGGATCTAATAAGATGCTTAATTACAGCACTGTTGCAAGGGCAGCAGCACCTGCGCAAAATAAATCTCCTTTTGGAGAGATCATTCTGCATCCTTCATTGCAAAAAAGAATAGAGCACCTTGCTCGGGCTACAGCAAACACTAAGACTCACCAAGCACCATTTCGTAACATGCTCTTTTATGGGCCTCCTGGAACTGGTAAAACTTTGGTTGCAAGGGAGATAGCTAGAAAATCGGTATAATAGATGCCTTCTTTCTCTTGGATCTTGATTGATGTGTGAAAATTCTTTTCCTTGTAGAAAAGTTTGTTACTGAATAAATGAAGAATATGGACAATTTTCCCTAATAAATAGACATTGAAAAGCTTCTTCCTCCTTGACAATACACGTCAATTCCACCCTTCTCGACTGGAATACTGATTTTGCATTCTGTTTTAGTGAGTCATACTGTCAAGATTATTATATTAATATTAATGAGGAGAGTTTTTCATAGATTAAGAGATGTGTGTTGAGTGAGAAGAGCATAGCTGGAGGCTTTTCAGCCGCAGAAAACATGGAATCCACCAAATGGAAATTGAATGAGTTCATAATTATTATCACAAGAAATCTCCTACCCTTGCCCTTTAGATGGGGGCACTACAAAAAAAATGGGGATTTTGAAAAAAGTACCAGAGGCATCAAACTCATCCAGAGTTGGAGAATTAATATTTGGGAAATATTTACAGTCTTTTGAATATGTGACTGACATTAATGTAGACTAGGTGTAGCTGCCCCTTGAAATTTTATGGTCATCACAAGACTTTTCAATACTGTTTGGAAAGACTTCATTTGAAATTAAAAAAAGGTTTTTATGTTCTCAGCTTCCCTGCTTTTGCATTCTGCAGGGTTTAGATTATGCCATGATGACAGGAGGAGACGTTGCACCACTGGGTCCACAGGCTGTTACCAAAATCCATGAGATATTTGACTGGGCAAAAAAGTCAAGAAAAGGTTTACTGCTTTTCATTGATGAGGCTGATGCCTTTCTATGCGAGTAAGTTGTTTCATTTACAACTCTATATTTTATTATTTTATTTTTAGTATGGATCAGAATTTAGTTAAGGATTGATTACTGCTTGAATAGTTTTATCTGACAAGTTGAATGGATGTGTGACAATTTACAGGAGCTTCAGAAGTCATCCATATAACAATAATATGCTAATGACCAGTTGTCCACACCTCATATTTTACATACTTCTACCATGTATTCAACTCAACATAATTTCAAATGATAAATTATATGAATGCTTTTGTTTAATTTTCCTCCCTTCTGGTATATCATAATGATATTGTTGAACTATCCCACTGCTGAGCTTGCGAGTAAAATAGAGTAATTGTAGCCTCCTGCACGCTCCGCACTTGCATTAATTTCTGGGGCAGTCTCTCTCTTTTCTCCCTTGTGATGTGTTGGTGGGTAAATACCTTAAAATTTTAGCATAACTGGCTCAGCTTAAAAGCTTACTTTTAAGGAAAAAACTAAGTTTTGAATATATAATTTTTTTGATTGGAGAAAGTTTGGTACAAGTTACTTAGGGTATGTTTGGTAAGGTGTTTATGCATAGGGTTTTTTATAAACATGGGTAAATGAGTGGTGGAGTAGTGTTAGTATTTGTGGGTCCTACAAGATGTGTAGTTAAACTAAGGTTTGACCAAAAATGTTTTTTGAGAAGCATCGTCCCAAGCGCATGCTCAACACTAAGGTAGGAGGTACTTTTGAGAAAAGTAATCGTTTTGCTTAGCAGTAAGAAAAAAAGTAAACTATTAATCATCAAAAGTTAATTAAGTAACTTCTTTTTTATACTAAAAGGTTGGTTTGCAAATTTAGGGCTTTTACGTGCAAAAGACATCATCTTTTCTCAGACGTTTGATATCGAAGCCAACATTTTATGTTATTGTTTTCTTTTCTTTTGTTTTCATGTAGACGTAATAGCAAACACATGAGTGAAGCTCAACGAAGTGCTTTGAATGCTTTGCTCTTTCGAACCGGGGACCAATCTCGAGATGTGGTTCTTGTTCTTGCCACAAACAGACCAGGAGATCTTGACAGTGCTATTACCGACCGTATTGATGAGGTTATTGAATTCCCACTTCCACGAGAGGACGAGCGTTTCAAATTGCTGAAGTTGTACTTGAACAAGTACATTTGTGGTGAAGAAGATGGCAAGTCCAAATGGGGACATTTGTTTAAGAAGAAGCCACAGAAAATAACCATAAAAGATCTGTCGGATGATGTCTTACGAGATGCTGCACGGAAAACAGAAGGGTTCTCTGGTCGTGAGATTGCAAAACTCATGGCCGGTGTTCAAGCAGCTGTATATGGACGCCCGGATTGTGTCTTGGATTCCGATCTATTCATGGAGATTGTGGATTACAAGGTTGAAGAGCATCACCAGCGAATAAAACTAGTATCTGAAGGTGGTGAGCCGGCTTAGGATTATTCCTATTGTATGGTAGAGATGTCTGGTTTCCGAGATCATCCCAATAAGGCGGAATTTCATTTAAACTTATATTAAGTAATTGATTCGGTTGATTGATTTTGTTTGAGTAAGCCATAACTAGATTCTTGTGGTGCTTAATGTACATTTTTGGTTATGACAACATACAACAGCTAATATAACTTAATTTTGGGCTGTGATTCAGCATTGACGTTTTGACTTGTGCCTATTTTGGTGAATGATAAGAACTTGTAGAACTGACATTGAAGTAGAGTTCTACCTGCAATTCGATTCTTCAGTCTTGTGACCTGGATCTAGATGTTTAGTGGGAAGATCCTTGTATTTTAACTGTAGTTTTTGATTGGGCAGTAATTATTAAATATCTGAGTAAAAACGTGTTATTTTTATTTATTTATTTTTGCCTTTTAAAGGGATATCACAGGATTCAAGTCCTCTTCGTCAAAGGAGGTTCGAACCCTTGGCTTGAGAAGGCTTTACTGTTTAAGCTAGATTTGGCCTTAAAAACGTTGTTACCAGTTAAATCTAAAGGATGGTGGCATATAAATTGATAAGGGTAAATATTACACTTGTTATGGACTTCAAAAAAGTAATTTTTGGGAGTGTTTATGATGAGTTTGCTACTTAAGCTCTATTCAACGATCACTCAAAAGAGGAATTTTTTTTTTTTTTTTGGGAAATTGAGTTTATAATAGTATTTTTTAGAGAATGTGTAGTTAAAAAATAAGAAATTTTTTTTAGATTTATGTGTAAAAATACGTTATTGTGAGAATGCATATTAGAAAATGAGTTTGTAAAAAAAAAAAGTTGTTTTTAATAGATCACACAATTAAAGTCCAGGGACTCGAACAGCAATTTTCAGAACGCATAAATTTCTCAAGATTTGTACGTCAATTTAGGATTTGAACATTAAAGAACACAATTAGTCGAAAGATATACTGCCAATCAAGGAAGAATTGAAGATCTTTGTCGAAATTTGGGTGTCAAAGAACAACAAATTGCTTGAATTAATTTATTTATTCCTTGTGTTGAACCTATTGATATTTTTTCATCCTTTTACTATTTAGTTTCAATATTATTATTGGCTAATTTTTTTGTTGCTAAGATGAACGTTGTAGCTTAGGTTAATATTTATTTAATTTAATAGATGTCATGTCAGTTTGATTATATATTAATTGCTTTAATTGACTGTATGATTTAAGGATAATATTGCTATCTAAATGATATGTATTTATCGTACAATAATTGAATGCTTTGACATGCGTATGAAAAACTAATTAATTCGATTGTGAATAATATGAAAAATGGGATGAATGAAGTTGGATTAGATGAATGTTAGATACCTAAGTGAAATCGAAACTCCTAACCACTAAATCCCAAAAGTCCTCCACAAACTCGTTAGACTTAGATTAATTTAATATAATTTAGCGCGAGACACAAAATCATGATTTGATAATAGGTTATTAAATAAAATTATATTGAAGTCAGATTACGATAAAATTAGTAGTAAATACTTAGTTCCTGTAGGTACGATACTTGGGAGAGTAACAGGTGATACTAATGAACACGCGATCCGTACATTTGTAAAATCGCATGATCATAAATCTATCTTGAAAGAAATTACAGAAATACTTCACGTTGAGACGTCAATTTATGTAAATGTTTTGCAAATTTTGGATTGATTATTGATTTTGGCACTAACCTATTGAGCGAATTTGAAGTCGCCTGAATTAGTAGTTCTAGAATTATAAATCAAAATAATCCCACACCATGATCTCCAATTTTTGTAATTAAAATAGACAAAAGATTAAAAGTTCTAGGTATATATTAAACTTTTCATCCATGAATATAGACATTGATCAATACTTACTAAACTTTTATCTCATTAGTCTCTAAATCGATATCATTCACAAAAACAAGATTATTTTGTGCTAAATTATCAAATATAACAAATTTTAATAAAAGTTGAAAAGATGTGTACTTAAAAAGCTGTGGGACTAATAAAATGTATGATTAAAATTAATTGATGACTTTAATTTAAATTAAAATCTTGATTTAAATTTTTACGAAACAAGGGCTTAATATGGATCCGAGCTGCCAATAGACTGAACTCTCACGAGCCAACTCACCGAGCTATCGAGCTCTCTTAGTCCATTGCCAGCCCTATTTCGAATAAATAGACATTGTGTAACCCATTTTTCTAAGGAAAAATGATGAAAGTACAGGGAAATTTATATAGAAATTGAATAGAAATTTGAATTCTCAGACACATGGTGCGGACCCCATGTATTAAATATTGGAAAAACAATATTGCTCCTGCCCTTGGCTGTGTCTGTTATGTAGGTACAAAAATTTTGAATTCCTGTACTTATAGCATGGTTGTTTTCTAAGCCCCTTTGGGGTTGGGATAAAAAATGATATTCTTTTGATAAATTTTGATAAAAATTAGTAAAATATATGGTTGAAAAGTTGTGGTTTAAATTAATTATTGATTTTGTCTTTAATAAAAATTTAAATTTTAATTCTGACATAAGAGGACAAAAGCATACACAGCCAGTCATGTCCAATTCCAATGATCCGGGGCTGCTTCCAATGGCCAACCGCAGGCCGCGTTGGGCACTTGGCCTCGGCGAGGAAAAAGTCCCGCAAAACCGTCGCAGTAAAATACGGCGAAACATTTTTTTCTTGCCATAAATGTACGTGGCAAAATTGCAGAAATACTCGTTCCATGCACCCCGAATCAACTGCCACGTTTCACCCCCCGTTCTCTATAACTTCCACTCTCACGCAATCGAAAAGGGAAACCAGAACACGTCTTTGAATTTTGAATTTGCATTTATAATAATGGGTAAGAGAGCGCTGCTGTTTGTGGTGTGGTTTGCCGTTGTGGTGTCTGTGGGCTGGTGTTGGGGTGAAGATGCGGCGAAGACAGCCAATTTGGCTGCCGGTAATGTGAAAGTTCGAGTAGAAGAGTCCAAGCAGAGTGCTTCCGAGACGGCGCACGATTTCGAAGATAAGGTTGAATCTTGGGCAGATTGGGCAATGAACAAATTTACTGGGTGAGCATTTTTTATGTTTACTATTTTTTTTATTGTTTCTGGTATTTTTGTTAAAAGCACGTTTTCTATTTCGTGTCGAGTCGCGTCGCGTCTTGTTTCCATTTCCGTTTAATTGCAATTTGATAAGACTTTGTTTGAACACCATTTCGAGGACAATGAGTTATGTAATAGTAATATTTTTTAAAAATGTGTGATTAAAAAATATGAAATATTTTAAATTTACGTATAAAATTATTTTATTTAACAGAGTAAATGATTGAAAATAATTTAGAGGAATATCAGTTTTTGGAGAAGGGGAATCAAACAGGGACTAAATGATGTTATAAACATACACACCCCCACCTCTCGTTCCATGCATCATCTACACATAAATAATTATGTAATTCCATCATGTACAAGCAGTATTATTCTTTATTATATGTTGCTTAGAAGTGTAAAGTGGGACGGATTGGTCGTCCAGACTACGTGGCCCTAAAAGATTTGTTCAGGGACTTTCATATGGATTTGCACACACTTATATAGAAACTCTATATACGAGGAAGTGAATTTGTTGGCTAGTGAAGGAAAATAAGGGCTGTATTCATTGCCTTTTAGTAGGCATCACTCCCAGCAACGTTGATTCATATGATTGATGATTTCAGGGAATCTGGATCCAGCCATGATGGTGAAAAAGATGTAGCTCCAACGATTAAAGAAAACGTCAAGTATGCTGCTTCAAAATCCTCTGATACGCTGAATTCTGCAGCATATGGTGATCCATTCTACATTTTTCACTCTTCTTTCCTTTTGAAATTGGAATAAAAATTAACCCTTTTAGACAATGAATGTTGCTTTTCCAGAAACATCAAAGTATGCTTCGGAGAAGGGCAATGATGTGGGAGAAACAACATCCAAGAAAATAGGCGACGCCAAGGACTATGCTTCAGACAAGTATGGTCAAGTCATAAATACTGCATCTGACATAGCTAATGATGCTAAAGAATTTGGGAAGGACAAAGCAAACAAGGCCTATGAAATGGCTTAAGATTTGGCTAGCGAGGCAAAAGATATAACTCAAGACGCCGAGGACGGATCTAGGATATTTGATAGAGGGAACTGAATGTTCTTAATAAAGTCATTGTAATAAAATTTAGGCTCTATTTGAATTTGATTTTCCACATTTTGAACGAAAAACTCCATTTATTTAAGACACTACTTTGGAGGGAATTGGTTTTCTAGGTAGATTTTTTTTTCATATTTTTTATTTTTTTGGTAATGAAAATAAATTATATCCTTTTAATGGAAGTTTCATAAAAAAATAAAGTCAAACGAATACTAAGAGTTCCAAAATTTCAATATTTTTCAGGTGAAAATTTATACTAATTAAACATAATTAATTGACAATTTTTTAGTAAAACAAGTTCTAGACAATTCAACTCTATATAATTTATTTTCTTTCTATCCAAATTACATTCTTGCAATCAAACGGACCATTATATGTAAAAAAAATTTTTTACTTAAGTCGTTCCAAGATTTGAAACATAATATTCGTACATAATAGAATCTAGATTGACCAATCTGAGTACGCTTCATCAAGCCGGGGATATACCACTAAATGACCCTCTTGCTTTTTGAGGTAAATAAATTCCCATTACTTTGGAGGGAATTGGTTTTCTAGGTAGATTTTTTTTTCATATTTTTTATTTTTTTGGTAATGAAAATAAATTATCCCTTTAATGGAAATTTTCATAAAAAAAATAAAGTCAAACGTACAATAAAAGTTCCAAAATTTCAATATTTTTCAGGGGAAAATTTATATCAATCAAACACAATTAATTGACAATTTTTTAGTAAAATAAGTTCTAGACAATTCAACTCTATATAATTTATTTTCTTTCTATTCAAATTACATTCTTGCAAACGGACCATTATATGTAATAAATTTTTTTACTTAAGTCTTTCCAAGATTTGAAACATAATATTCGTACATAATAGAATCTAGATTGACCAATCTGATTACGCTTCATCAAGCCTAATACCCTTCAAAGACTGTTCTGTATGCTCTCCCTTCATTTGCGCCTTCGACCGAGCCGTATTCAACTTTGTTTCTTCTCCTTTCTTCAATTCCACAATTATTTTCATAGACGCACCAGCCATGAGGCATTATTTCAACAGGCCATGGAAATCGAAGCAATATAAACAAGCAAGAAAAAATATAAACAAACGAGTACTTCCGTTCGTAGCCGTGGCAGCCGGCAAGGACGAGTTGGCGAGAAAAGAAATTGATGTAGGATTAGAGATTGAAGAAATCGTGATTTGAGAAATTA